ATTCTAGAATGCTGTGCCCAGCGCGCAGTTGAGCACGCTCCCCTCGGGGAGTCTCGCGGGCGGCGCCCATGGGGGCAAGGCGGCGACGGCGTTGTCGAGTGCGACAGCGCGCAACTCCTGCATCTCAGACCCCCGACGAGAAAAACAATTAGCCGAAAGCCAAGGCTGGCTGCACTGCGGAAGCAGGGGCCCGCCCCGTCGGATGTTCAGTCGGACTTTCCATTTTCTGGGGTTCCCATCCACCCAGGACCATATCCAGCAACCTGCTCGGTTACGCCAAACACGGCCGCTTCGGAACATGACCCTACGCACACTGGTTTGAGACATCTAGCGGCCCAGCGACTTTGGCAATCGGCAATCACTGTTGATTCTCCCCGACTGGCTCCAGGGTACAATCCCTGTCACACAGCGTGTGGGGGCTACGTGTTTCAATTGTTTTCCGCAGGGAAACTGGGTGTCTCGTTGCCTTTCTCGGGGCCCTCTTGTCAAGCGGTCGGCGTTTTTTTGGGATGCCAGCATGAGCGCTTTGCTCTGGCGTTATGTTTGGGTCCTGGGCGCACTTGATCTACCAGGGATTGGCGTCGGGGCGCGGCGTTGCGATTTCGGGGCCCTTGGGTCCTTGGGTCCAGGCGCCAGCGCGTTCTTCAACGGTCCTGGTGTTCAATCGGACTTTAGCATGTATGGTGTTCTAGTGTTTTTTTCTTGTATTTTCTCGTATTCCAAATACATGTGTTTTTTTAACTCTCGAGTGAGTTCGCTATGGTGTAGGTCGGCCACGGGCCACTTCGAGTTCACGCGGCACGCCATAAAACATACGGGCGGCCCTAGGCACAAGCGTCTGACATACCTTGTAGCACGTAGCTCGCTACAGCGCAGGGGGGGGGACCAGGCACGCGAGCCCCACTTCGGTTCGAAACGCATTGTCGCTGGGGGCTCGCTTGACAGTGCAGTCCGTCGTTCTTTCGTGGCGTTGGACATCTTGACGATCGGGGTATCCCCAAATGCCCATTCATACTCGATGCCCCGACGCGGGGATTCGATCAGGAGAAATATGCAGTGGCACAAAGAGGGGGGGGCAGCGATCCAATATTGACCAAGGGTCAATTTGAGCACACCCTGGGGTAACTCAGATATGCTTCGCGTGGGTTTTCGACGAGGGGGTGCGAGAAAAAGAAGGGGGGACGAAAAAGGGGAGGAGGAGGGATACCATTATAATGGCGAGAGGGGAGGGAGGGGGGAGTGTCAAGTGGTGGATGGGGGGAATGAAAGTGGAGGATCAAGCGGTTTTATTTCGCGTTTGGTGACACCCCCTCGGGAGCAGGAAAAAGAGACGGATTACGAGGGCCAGGAGCAGGACTAGGAGGGCGAAGCGGGAGAAGGCGGAGGAGGAACATGAGCAGGAGTGGGGGCAAGAATGCGCCGTCAGCGACGGCGGCGGCGCCGTCGGCGACGACGGGAGTCAACCGGAAAGGCCCCTTGCGGACGTTTCGTTCTGGGAGGTCCTGGCCGGTGTTGTGGAGTTCTCCCGGGGCCACGTTGGGGGCGCATCGGGAGCTTGCGGTCCTTTGTTTGTGTCCTCTTCTGGTGCTCCTGGCGACCCCGCTTGCCGTCTCGGGGCCATCGCGGGAGCCGTCGGTTCTAACAACAACCAGGGTTTTTTCACCCGAGTTCCCCGACCGAAGTGCGAGAAGTCTCACCTTGAGACCCTGTTGGGGTGGCTTGGGGGCGCCATTGGGGGCCTTTAGGGCCGTCTTCGGGCGCGCCCCCCTCCTCCCACTCCTCCCTCCTGCACCGTCCTCCCTTTTCTTCCTCTGCCCTGTGCCCTCTTCCCTCCGAGGCCGGCCGAGGCCGCTCCTTCTCTTCCTCTGTCCTCCCCCCTCGGGGCTTTATTGCCTCCTCCCTCTCCCTCCCACCTCCCCTGTCCCCCCTCCCTCCCCTTCATCATCCCTACTCCTCGGACCGCTCTGTCCGATTCTCCGTCATTTTCCTCTCCTTCGATCCTCCACCTTCTTACTCCTCCGCTCGCCATCCGCTTCATTCCCCCCTCCCGCCATTCCCGCCCCCCCCTTGCTGGCGTAGCCCTTTTGGCACGAGACATGGCGAAGGGTTTGTTTTACACGGAGGCCCGAACGCCTCTTGGTGCACAGCTTAATGACCTCGGTTACGAGACACTTGCTTTCGCTGGGTTCAAGATGGCATGCACTCTGAATGGCTACAGTGGCGCAAGCGTGTTGCCCTTGCCATTCGTGCGCAACGCGCACGGCCTGGCGCGGAGAGCGGTGCCCGAGAAACCTGGGAAGGTCACCGTCCAGGCCTTCTGCAAAGACTTCTTCCCAATCATGGACGCGAGGGTTGTGTCCATGAAGGGCGAACCCATGTGGTGGGACACGCTCAAGCTCAATGTGCTGCCGTCCGCCCTCTCGTCCATGGATTGCGCGCTGCACCCCTTCGTGAAGAAGAGGGACGTGCAGTGTGGTGTGGCTGCGTTTGCTCTGAGCCGTCGAATGCTGAATGAGAGTGTTCATTTTGAAATGGCCCTTCGATTTTACAGAGATTCGAAGTTTAGCGTGAACCGGCAGTCTGATATTGAAAACCTGCCTGCCATAATGAGCGGCATGCTGAAGGCAGGCGTCGACGTTTCTCGATTGGCCAAAGCGATTGATTCCGCAATCGATGCTTGCGGAGTTCACCCCCGCACCGGCTACCTCACGCCAGCAATACAAACAGAGACAACAGGATTGCCAGCTAAAAAAGCAATTCGGGCGGCGACGTACTTGAGCGAAGTCGTCGCGCGGATGCAGGAGTTTAAGATAACGTCATATGCGTAATGCTTCGCAGCGGCACGTCCCGATGCGTGCGCTTCGCTTCGCCTGAGCATGTCGTTTCCTCGCGCTGCGCCCTCGCCAGCCCCTGGCGCTGGCAATGCGTTGGAAAACGAAAGCCCTCGCCGCGCTGCACAGGGGAAGCGCATGGAACACGAACGCGCCAATTGTCTGTGAGGCCAAAAATGCAAGTGGCAAATAGTTGTTTTCCGCGGCCCGTTTTCAGGTGACCCACCCCTGGTGGTTCACCTCTGCGGCGCGCGCTACACATGGGAATCGTGGAATCGTATGGAGCACGACTGCGCCAATTCCTCGTGAGGCCCAGAATGCAAGTGGAACCGTGTGTTTTTCACAGTTATTTTTCGGGTGACCCGCTCCCCTGTTGGTCACCTATGCGGAGCGCGCTACACAGGGGAATCGTAAGGAGTGCGAATGCATCATATCGCGCCGTGCCGAGTGTCGCGCTGTGCCGTCTGCGTGACCTTGCGAGCCCAGCGCCGCGCGCGCGCGGCTGCGGATGTTGCGCCGTGCCTGCGGCGCCGCGCACGTAGCGGCGTCGCGCGCCACGTCCCGTGCCTAGCGCTCCGCGTTCCCATCGCCGCGCGTTGCATTTGCGGTCCTGCGCGCCTAGGTGGCTCCGCCAGAAGCCCGGCGGTCTACGATGCCGCCTGTTTGCTGCCGCAGATTCTCAAACTTACGGACAGGAGTTTTCAGTACTATCAGATCTCGATGTTGTTGGACAGGATGCACCGGGCATCGGTCGGCTGGGAGAGGACGTGCGAGTTCAGCCCGCTCTGCGCAGGTCCGGGAATGGTCCCGCTGTGCCTGTTGTTTTCCCCTAACCCGCACATCAGCCGACACGTGGCGGACACAGTCGCTGTGGAGGCGGCTCTGAGCGACGACGACGACGACGCCCGCGACCAAGGGCCCGAACCCTCCTGCAAACGAGCTCGGACAACAGGAACGCACAGCGGGGTTCCAAAGACAGCCTTTTTCACGCAGTTGGACGGCATCAGGTTGACGGCGGGCGTCGGCGCCGCCGACCACCGCCACGCCTCGCAGCTTTGCCGCTATATGCTACAAATCATCATGCAATCCAGATTCCTAGTTGAACTCAGCAAGCTATGTGGTGTGGACTTGTCGTTTCTGATGGATTATCATGTCATGGAGTATGCCATATGTGAGGTCCGCCGTCTTTTGTGCAAACCAAAATTGCGCAGGTCCCTGCGGGAAAATTATGCGGATTGGGGTGTTTTTTTTTGAAAGCCACCGTAACCGCGTTTCGAGAATCCGGAACGCCCAGATCAGCTGGTACCGCGCGAAGTATCGGTTTTAATTATAGTTTACCGCCTGCGCCTTGCGTGAGATTGCCGTGCCTTGACCTTCACCGCAGCGAGAAAAACAAACATCATGTCCTTGTCCATCTCTTGGGGGGTAGTCCTTGTCAGGCCACGTGGGCATGGCAGACCGCAGGGGCCCAGCGGGCCACGGGATCCGGTCAGACCACAGGAGCCGTCCAGGCCACAGGACCACGGCAGACCACATCCCAAGCACATTTATCCCAGGAAGCCTTCCCACTCCCCTTCTCATATCACGTCCTCCATCTTCTCCTTCTCTTCTCCTTCCCTCCTCGCCACGGCGTTTGCCAGGCTTCGCGTTCCCCCCATTTTTCCCTGGGGGCCCCGCCTGAGCAGGTTGGGCATCGGAAAACGGTATTCTTCTTTACACAGTTCCGCGCCAGTCCTACCCCATCCAGGGACGCCCCGCCGGAGCGGACGGGGCAGCGGGATAACTGACCATTTTCCAAGTTCAGTGGCCCTCCAACACCGTCTTGGAAGCACCGCCAGAGTGGGCAGGGAATGGCGGTTCAAAGGTCGTTGCCGCGTTTCGTGCCCCTCCCCCCCCGCGCCTCCAGGGGGGGCCCGCCAGAGAGGGCAAGGTATCGGAACGCGGCATTGCGCAATGGACAAGGTCTCGCGCCCCTCCCACCCCGCCAGGAAGGCCCCGCCAGAGCGAGCACTTGATCCGAAAACAATATTGCTTGCAAGTTTTCTCGCCGCCCCCCCCTCCGCGCGCTTCCAGAGGCCGCGCCGGAGCGGGCGGGGTATCGGGAAACCGTGCCCTTTACCGAGTTCCGCGCCCGTTCCACGTTTCCAGGGAGGCCCCGCCAAAGCGGGCAGGAGATCGGATAACATGCGATTTGCAAGGTTTCGCGCCCGCCCGAGCCCTCCAGGGAGGCCCCGTCGTCGGCGTTGTGTGTCGTTGCTTTCGTGCTGAACGTTGAAGGCTTCATCGCAGTTCTTTTCTGAGTATGTGGGGTACGGGCTCATTGACGCGCAGCAGACGTGGTGGGGCAGCTGCTGGCGATTGGAGTCCAATGATCGCTCCATCACTGCATTCCGCCCAGACGTAGTCCCGATCGTCCGCGTCAGCCATGCCGCGAGGTTCTGGCCGCCAGCCCGGAAAGGCAAACGGGTGCAGGACGGGCCCGCAATAGAGGACATCGGTGAAGACATCTTGGACGGTGTCGACATCGACAACATCGGCGGCGACGTCGACGTCGGCGCGGCCATCGATGATATTGGTGGTGACATTGCCGCCGGTAGCGGCCTCCACGTCGACATGGGTGGCGACATCGACCCGGGTAGTGGCGACGTCATCGACCAGCTTGAGATGCTCGCTTTGTTCATGGAGCTGGAGGAGGAGCACAGCGTGCCCCCCTTCAATTGTATCCTTGTCGTCGTCGTCGTTTTCCTCCCGCCCTCCGTCTTTTGCTCCTCGTCTGACCCAGGAGCTACGCAGTGCTGTCGGTAGCGAGGGCCTCGGTGGCGCTGGCTCTGAGCCCCCCGCGCCGCCTCCGCCGCCGCCGCCTGCTGGCCCCGGGCGTCCTGGGCGAGGCCGCGGCGGTGGGGTCCCCCGCTACTGTCACTACAGTGTCGCTGGCTTGGACGGTAATCCGATCGGCTACATTTTGTTCAATGAGAATTCCAATACCTTCGATGCCCACTGCAGCCGGCACGGCAAAGATTGTGCGGTCAGCAAGTCTTGTCGGGCCTTCGAGGGCGACGCAGCTGGGTCCGGCAAAAGATTGGCTCAAGGGCGTCCTTTGGGATTCTTGGTAGCGTGGCTTCGCTATGGCACGAGCGACCTCTTCGGCGACGGCCCAGAGCATCGCAAACACCATTTCGACGCCCGTTTGAGGCGCGGGCCGCACGCTCTTTTGATGGACGGCGAGGGCCCGCTCAGACGCGGATCTCGCGCGTGGGTCCAGTCGAACCCGCACTTCGAACCACTGCGGAGGGCAGAGAGGAAGCAGAGACCAGGTGAGGCAGTCGAGCCACCTGGCCCGATCTAGTGCCACTGACAAACTGTTCGCCCTCATCATGACGTCACTTTCACTGGCCCATCATAAGTTATCTCATCCCCAGCGAGCCGTGTCTTACCTAACCCCTCCCCCTTTGGCGACGGAGCCCGATCGCGGGGGTTGACCCTCGGGCAGCACAGGGTTGCGCCACGCCCAGTAGCAGGGGCTCCGTTTGCAGTTTCGGCGGCCGAGGGGTCCGCCTTGGGGGGGGGGGACCACCCCCGGGGGACACCCGCTTTGCAGGGGCAACCTAAAAGTGCCTTCGGTTTCACCCCTTTGCGGGGGCACTTCGCAAAACAACGTTTTCGGCTCGACCCCCCCGGGGGCGACTTCCCGGAAAAGCTCCAGCAAAAGTGTGCTGATGTATCAAGGAACCGCGGCCCCAAAGTAGGTCACAAAGTAGGTTTGCGGAATTTTTTTTACAAAGTAGGTCCCAAAGAAGGTTTTTGGAATCCAAAAGTAGGTTTTGGGTACACAGAAGTAGGTTTCGGGGGCCCCAAAGTAGGTTTTGGGAGCCCGAAGATCGTTGTCGGGAGGCCCACAACTACTTGACACCTACGTACAACCTACTTCAAACCTACTTCAAACCTACTTCAAACCTACTTGAAACCTAGTTTAAACCTACTTCAAACCTACTTTAAACCTACTTCGAACCTACTTCAAACCTACTTCAAACCTACTTCAAGCCTACTTGAAACCTACTCCAAGCCTTCTTTTGGACGTGCGGGGGGTGCGGGATTGGAGGTAGGAGGGGGAGGGGGAGGAGGAGCAGGACGAGGAGGAGGAGGAGGAAGGCGAGGAGGAGGAGGGGGAGGAAGAGGAGGAGGAGGAGGAGGAGGAGGAGGAGGAGGAGGAGGAGGAGGAGGAGGAGGAGGGGGATGATGAGGAGGAGAAGGAGGAGGAAGAGGGACAGGTGGAGGAGGTGGATGAGGAGGACGACGAGGAGGAGGATCAGGAGTAGGACGGGGAGGACCAGGACGAGGATGAGGAGGGCCAGGAGTAGGATGTGGAGGGCGAGGACGAGGATTTGGAGGGTCGGGAGGATCAGCAGGAGGATGGATCGAGGATGGTGCGGAGGATGAGGGAGAGAAGGTAGGAGCACACGAATGGACAGAATGAGGAGGATCAGCAGGAGGGAGATGATGGCCGGGGGGGTCGGGGGGGGCGAGGTTGAGGAAATTGTTGATGCGGTTGATGAAGAAGAGAATGAGGAGGCCATGCTGGCTGGAGGACGCTGCGAAGCATGCTGAGGATTATGACGAGGGGCTGGGGTTACAGTGGCCAGGGGCGGGGCGAGCATGTCGATGATGAGGCGGAGCGAAAAGACGATCATGAGGAGCAGGAGGGGGTTCCAACTTGGATTCGCATGCCTACTGGGAGAGAGGCAGTGTGGGCTGAAGAGCGGGGGGGGTTCAAATGCGGTATGAGGGAACCGCGCCATAAATATTTTGTTGGAGGGGTACGTGGTGGAGGACAAGGGGGGGCACCCTATTCTAAACTCTTGCGGGCGACTTCGTCCCCAGTGGCCGACCCATCCACAGCTCTCGACCCCATCCCGAGGACTCGACCCCGTCCCCAGCTCTCGACCCCATCCCAAGTAGTGTAGGGTTGCGGAGGCTTCCGTTCCGATGGCGCCCCTGGCGTTCCGAGGTGCGGGGGTTCGTGTTTCCACTTTCGCACCCAAGGTTGCGCGTCGCTGGGAAGGGACGGTCGCCAGCTTTCGATCCCTGTCCCAGCTCTCGACCCCGTCCCCACCTTTCGACCCCGCCAAAAGACGCGACCCCATGCCCAGCTGTCGACCCCATCCCAGGCGGTGTCAGGGTACGTCGGGTCGGTTTCCTCCGGCGCCCCTCGCGCTCTGGGGTGCGGAGGCTCCTGTTCCTCTTGCGCCCCGCAAGCTTCGTTTCGCCATGTGACGCCATGGTCACTCAACCTCTTCTTCCTCGTCGTCTTCGTCGTCGTCGTCCTTCTTCCTTCTCTTCCTCCTGCTCCCCCTTCCCACTCCGCGTCCGTGCCTGTCTCGTGCCTTGAGTGTTGCTTGTATTTCTCGTGCCTTGGGTTCCCACGACATTACCTGCGCGATTACGTGCGCATTTGCAACATTTGTTGGGCACTCACGTAGGCCCGACGGGTCGCAGCTTCTTCAATCACATCGTTCACTCCGCTGCACCATGTTTTGGCGCTGTGGGCATTTGGTTATCCAGTGGCTCTCGCCCCATTCCGCCAAAGTGCGTGCGTCGTGTGTCAGAAGCCTCTTGGGTGCCTCTCGGTATCTTTTGGGATGCTACTCGGCGGGCTCGTTGGGGGCCCTCGGGGGTTTCATTGGAGATTTTTTTGGGGCCTCAACGACAGAGTTCGGTGGGTTAATGAGGGTATGCTGTGTGTCTCATGAGCCGTGTGGGGGGAGGCCTCCCGGGGGCCTCTCGGGCTGTTTGGGTTGTCTTTGGGCCCTCTCGGGCTCTTTTGGGGCCCTCTTGGGGATGTCCGTGCCGTCGCGGGGGCCGCTGGGGCTGTCAGTGAGCCGTCTTGAGACATATTGAGGTCACATCGGAAAAAGGCGATATCGCTGAATACCACCATGGCCACCACGCGGATTGTTCACGAGACCATGCCAGCAGCATTCTGGAGCTCCTACCGTTCTTGTCACCAGTAGCAACCATTCATAATGTCCGAGCCGTTACCGTGATATCCAGTGGATGCACTGCGAGTGCAGCACCGGAGTCCCGCGGGCCATGTGGCCGCGGGCCGTTTACGAATTTGTCGAGGCTTTGCGCCCCCCCACCAAGCCCATCCAAAAACAGTATCCAAGGCGATGAAAGGGCGGACGGATGAACGAGGAGAGAGAGGCCATCCATAACACCAGTCCTAGACGAGAATAGGCATGTACAAGAGTGGCCACCCCCATAACTTGTCATGCACGAGCGGCCCACATGGTTATCCCTTTGGGCACCTGGGGTCCCTCTTGGGGCCCGCCGGGGCCCCTCTCAGGGTTCTCTTGGGTCGAGGGTTTCCCCAGGCGGTTTCGGAAGGCCCCCAGAAGGCTCCGCGAAGGGCCCCCAAGCATTCACGAGCAGCGGCTTTGTCGTGACAGTCTTGGGGCCCTCTTGGAGACAGGTTGGGGCCCCCGTGGTGTCGTCTTGGGACGCTCTTGGGACTATCCGAGGGGCCGAAGAGAGCCCCGGGGCCGCCCCAAGACAACCCGATACGGGTCCAAGAGGCCCTCCCGTGTCGCCAAAGGCCCAACTCATAGAGTCGGAGCCCTTCCGGGAACCGTTGTGGTGCCCCTGTGGAAATTTCGCGGGGTCTTCTGGGGACCGTCTTGGTGCTGGGCCTCCCCTTGGGTTGTCATGTGGGCCAAGGGGACCCCGAAACGTCACCAAACAGGCCCCGCGACGGCTCCTCGAGGCCCCCCTGGCGTGAAAGGCCCTCCTGTATGCATAGAGCTGGGGCCCTCGGGTTTTCTGGGGGCTCTTTGGGCCCTCTGGGAGACGTGGTGTGGCCTTCTTGGAGGTGTCTTGGGGCCCTGCTGGGCTCCTCCGAGGGCTTTCAGAGGGGCCCACGAGGGCCCTGAGACGTCTCGACGAGGGCCCCAAGATGGCTCCAAGAGGCCCCCCATGACGCTCATGAGGGCCCAACTCTATGCATCGAATTGGGGCCCGTAGCCCTTCTGCAGGCTTTAGGGGCCTTTTTGGGGGCCGTCCTGGGGCCCCCATTGGAACTGTTTTGGGACCCTCTTGGGGTGGGTCGTTCGTTCCCTTCACTTTTCGGTCGGAGGTGTGTCGTTCGGCCCCCTCAGGGCATTGCGTTGCCATTGCGCGTTTTTTCTGGGTCTGCGCTGGACGTGGCTGGACTGGGCTGCGTGGGGCTGGACTCGGCCAGAATGGGCTGGACTGGCCTGAACTGGGCGGGTCGCCTGTGGGCCGTTGGGCCGCATTCGGCCTCGCCTGCAAATGTTGGGCCAAAAGTTGTTGATGACAACGATGATGAGAATAATGATGAAGACACTGATGGTGATGACGACAATGATGATGAAATTGATGCTAACAATGATGATGACAATAATGCTGGTAACAATGGCGCTGGTGATAACAATGATGACAATGATGCTGGCAATGGTGATAAAAAATGACGATCGCAATGATGGTGATGACAATGCCGATGATGACAATAGTGATGGCAACGATTGTAATAATGATGATGGTAACCGTGGTGATGACAATGCTGATAATAAGGATGATAAGGTCGCCTGCCTCGGCTGGACTGCGTTGGATGTCCAACGTGTTCTGTACTTGGCGATAGTTCGGGGCTATGTGAACGCAGCCGCCGACGCGTTCCGAGGTGATCCTTGGGCGGCCTCGGCTGCGGGGCCCTGTCGCCAACATTTGAATTTCGCATGGGTCGCGGCAGTCTGTGGATCAGACCCCCGCGAGTGCCCTCGGCCCTCCAGACGAAGCAGCCGCCCAGCCATGGCCGCCAAGAGGGGGGCCAAACGGGCGGGCGCCTTGATGGGGAACCCTCCCGCGAAGACCCCGCGCAAGAGGGGCCAGACCTCCACCGACGACGGCCCCGAGGCGGGCGACTGTGCCGCTTCGACGGTCTCCGCAGCAAGGACGAGCCTCACCACCGTGCCGCCCCTGCAGGAGACGTCCCCCGACGCCAACGGTTCTGGCAACAACGGCAAGAGTGCCCGGGGGGGGTCCGGGAGGGGCCAAGGCAAGGCTAGGGATAAAGCTCCACCGAAGACAGCTTCGAGGGGGCCTGGCCAGGGAGGGGGCCAGGGCAGCTCGAAGGGCAAAGGGGACCGGCCGCAGCCCGTGAAGGCCACCACGCCCCAGGTCCTTCCTCTGGCGACCTCGTGCGGGAAATGCGGCGAGACCTTCGAGAAGGCGCGCGCGGGTCTGCGATGCGAGAGCGTCTCCCATTGGGGGGGAGGTGTCGCTCCGCAGACCAGCTCGCGAGAAACCAAAAGGGCTTCGAGGGCCCCCCCAGGCGGCCCAGCAGTCAGGAAAGGTTTTTCTCCCACGCGCCCCCAGTTTTTTTTTTTGGTCGGGGGTGGGACCTTCTCGCCCTCGGGGTCGCGCTCCTGAGAGATCCCCCCAGGCAGCGGAGTGGGCGCTGACGGTGTCCGTTCGGGTCGACGGTGGATCGGTAGAGCGGCGCCCCGGCATCGATGCGTGCAAGGGTTGCTTCGTCTGGTGGGACCAGCACGTGTCCATGATCTGCACGTGGGAGGAGTTCGTCGCGAAGTACAGAACCAACGACTGCTTCAAGAACATGATCGACACCGCCTGCAAAGTGAAAGCTGGCACGATGGAGAGGGGCTTTAAGCCCGAGGCCGTGTGCGCGGGCGTCCGCCGACTCGGTTTCGTCGACAGGGCTTGCGTCATTCTGAACGAGAAGGAGCTCGCCTCCGAAGCTGGGAAACAGTACGTCGCCAAGAAGGACAGGCCGTCTTCGACCATGACCCTGAAGAGCGGCGACGGCGACGACAACGAGGAGGAGGTGTATTGCTTCAGCCACCCCCAGCTGCCGTTCCGCGTCTACCATGAACGCTTCGAGGTCTTCGTGGCGAAGCAGGGCACCAAGCTCCCCGAGGGTTGCCACGTGTGGCCCGCGCAGGCAACGGAAGCGTTCATGAAGGACAACAGCCTGGCGGAGCACGCGTCGCCAGCCTTGGAGACGATCGCTTCCAATTTGGCTTCGCTGGAGGACTGGGTGGAGAAGCGCCAGCTCCCCGCGGAGGAGGGTGCTGAGGCGGACGGCTCGCCTGCCAACGGCGGCCCCGAGGGCGCAGGGCCCTCCGCAGAGGACGTTCTCCAGTGCGAGGGCATTGCCGCCTCTGCCAACATCTGGCCTGGTGGACGCCCGGGGTCCTCTGGAGATCAGGGCGGCGCCAGCGCTCGGCAGGCGAGGGCCTTCGCCGAATCTTGCCTCGACGGCGCCGGGGTCGTGGAGGTGCAGCCCGAGGACTCGGCTAGCAAGGCGGGCGGTGACCTCTGTGATCTCTCGCCAGAGGAGGTGTCCGCTCGCGAGACCGTCAACTATTACGTTGGTAAGCTCAGCTTGCGCGCCGCCATGATGGCCAACAGCGATGGCCGAACGCTGACGGGCATCAAGAACCAGATGGAAAAGCTGGGCGATGTCGAGGTCACGCGCGAGTACGCGAACACCCTGCGCTTGCACAAGGCGGATTATGACTTGGCCTGCTTGCTGCAGAAGCCAGGCGTCTTCCAGCACACGGAGGAGCGCTTGGACCAGATCTTGCGGGATCTCGGCCCGAAGGTGAAGGGCGACTTCCCCTACGAGGTGAGCTGCGTGGTCATCTCGATCAAGATGCGCTACCTCCGCGAGAAGTCCCAGTTCGCGATGTTCTTGGGCATGGCCAGTCCTTGGTCGAAAGGCGAGTTCAGCATCCTCGCCCGCACCGTCGGAGCCATGCCAGGGATGAGTGCCGCAGCCAGGATCCAGCTCTACCAGCGCGTCGTGTTCAAGGAGACGCTCGTCCCCATGATCGGCAGGGGCGAGGAGGGCAGCGCAGGCGTGCTCAACTTGGTCCAGGAGGGCCATCGCTTGTACAGCGACGTCGATATCTTCGACATCGCGGAGGACGAGACCAGCGTGTTGAAGGAGTCCTTGGACGTCTTCCAGGCGCTCTCGTTCATCGTGGATGAGTCGGTCTTCCACGCGACGTACGTGGACGGGGGGGCGTCAACTCGATCGGGCCACTCGAGTTGCGGGGGGCGCTGCGATTCTCATCGGCCGACCGCGGTGGTCGCGCTTGTTGTTGGGCACTGTGTGTGTGTTCAATCGGACTTTCAACATCGTTAATATGTGTCGAGTTTCGGATGTGTTTTCGCACGGATCTTGGACACGGGGTTTTCGTGGTTCGCGCTGCAGATTCGCAGCGTGGGGCATCGGACCTTGGGGCCCGCGATGCATGGCAAATCCGCCATGGAACAATGCTGTTTTGGCTAGGTTTTGAAAGTCCGATTGAACATCATCATCGCCCAGCAATGGTCGACTTCTCTGGCGCCTGCATGGCGCTCGGGCCCTGCGCGCGGCCGCGCCCGCGCCCGCCCGACAGGAGCCCTTCGAGGCCGTCGCTGCGCAGACTGGGAAAGCTGGGCACGCCATCTCCACCATCATCGCCAACGCCGTCGACGGCTCCGACTTCTACAAGAACCGCAAGGTCGCCCTGAGGAACATGTTGCCAGGCATGCTGGAGAACGCTGCGGCGTACTCCACCATGCGCGGGGCCCTGGGCGCGCTCGCCGTCCCGACCGGGGTGGGCGTCACCGTCGAGACCGTGAACGAATTGTGGAGTTTGGGCAAGACGCTGTCGTCGACCAAGAAGTTTTTCAGGGCGCGGTACTGCGACCCAGACGTCGAGGTCTACTTGGGCAAGGCGTCGCAGGTGCTCTCCGCCACGGACGCCTTGGAGAGCGGTAGTCGGGCCCCTGACATGGATCTCCTGCGCGCCCTGCTGGCCCTTTCGACCCAGACTCTGGAGTTCCCGTGCGGGGACCGCGACGAGGAGCTCAGCCAGCGCCTGGGCGTGATCAAGCGCCTCCAGTCCACCCTCGGCGCCAACGAGTTCAAGGGGAAAGTGCTGCAGGCGGCGTCCGTCGCGGCCATGGCCATCGCAGACGAGGGTGCCGCCGAAACCCTGGGGAGGCACCTCGGGTTCGCTGAGGGGTGCTGTTTCGCCAGCAGCGCTGACGAGATCAAGGTTTTCCTCGCCACCGCCGCGGGCAAGCTCCCTGGGGTGGCGCCCGCGCAGGCGCGCGCGTCGGTGAAGAACAACGTGGAGCGCTTGCTCGAGCTTGCCGTCATGGGCGGGGCTGTCAAGGAGAAGGAGGACTTGAACGCTTCGTTCTTGCAGTGGCAGCTGAAGTCCGCCCTGGCCGACGTGGGCGCTCTCGGGAAGGACTTCGCCGAGCAGTCTGGCCACGGGGAGTTCCGCGCAGCCCTGCGGCGCGTGCAGGGCGCCAAGCAGTCGCTCGACGCTTTCGTCAGGCCCTTGAGGGGCGCCGATGCCCATCGCGACTTCCCCCATTTGGACGAGGCAATCGCTGAGGAGGCCGAGAGGCTCTTCGAGGCTGGGCGAGCCGCTGTTGTCGCCAGCGCAGATGAGCACATGATATCATTAATGCAGAGCTTGCAGAAGTCCATCGGCGCCCGCGATGATGGGGTGATCAGCTGGTTCGAGGGCGCGAATACGTGGGAGGCCTTCGACAAGGTCTGCAGGCAGACTGTGTGCACTGAGGCGAACAAGGGCTTGAAGGTTTCCATCGACAAGTTCGAGGAGGCGCGCGCTGTGTTCTCTTCCTCGCATGGCGGAGGCGGGGCGTTCCGCGTCTGGAGCGGGCCCGCCTCTCTCGGTGCGGGGGGTGGGGGTGGGGCGCTGTGGCCAGAGGGGGCGCCTCGTATATATCTTGATTCTGGGGTGCACTCAGGTCAAAAATATCAATGTTTACGCCCGCCGAGATGGCCCCTGTGACCCCCAATGCAACCCCGTACATGGATTCTTCAGGGCCCTAGTGCGACCCCAGGGCGGCGGACGATTGAGCCTGGGCGTTCCGAGAGAGGGCGGGGGCGATCCCAGGGGGGCCCAGCAGCGCCTCAAGCTATCCCGTCGCTTTCACCCAAGACGGGTTTGGCATTCCACGCGGCCCGACTGGGCCGCGATTGGGCCTGAATTGGCCTGAGTGAGGCCCGGAAGCCGGAGGGCGCCCCAACTTGCCGCCGAGTTTGCCTAGAAGGGTTCCGCACGGGCTGGGGGGCACTGCGCCGCGACCGTTGAGAATCGCATGATGTTTCCCCCGAGAGGCCGTGGACGTCAGTAAGCGTGCCAGGGAGGAGCTCGTCAGCGAGGCTCCTTTTCCCAGGGAGTTGGGCGCGATCGAGAAGCTCGTGTTCAGCGCCAAGGCGACGCGGGCCATCGTCTCCATCATGGGGTCCTTTGCCGAGTACGAGGACGTCCAGAGGAAGGGCCCCCAAGAGGGGGGGTTCAAGAACATCGGGGACCTGAAGAAGAGGGTGCAGTCCGAGATCCGGGCCGTGCGGAAGGACTGCGCATGCGAGCGCACGGCGCTCCCCCCCGTGCTTCTCAAGGAGTGCGCGGCAATCCTGTGGGGCTCGGGGGTGAGCCACGTGGGCAAGAAGTAGGGGGGCTCGCGCGGGCGCGAGCTGAGTCGGGGGGCAGGCGGCGTCGCCAGCGAGCGCACTCTGCACCAGTGCGCTCGCGGGGTCTAGGCGGCGCAGACCAACAGACCAACTTGGTTGCAAACACGTTTCGCCAGGGGTTTGGCAGCGCTTTTCTGCGCCAGGGGCTTGAGAAAATATGTCTTCTTTCACCCTCCCGACCGCGGCCGCCCCAGCGCCTGTCTCTCTTTTGCCCGAGTGTTGTCTGTCGCGCCTCGCGGCCCCAATGTATTCCTGGCGCCTCGCGCGCCCCCGCGGGCCCACCCAGGCGAGATTCCCGTGCGCGCTGTTTTGGGGAAGAGAGCTGGCAACCGCACGTTGAAGTCGGGGCGCCAACACTGGCGAAGTGAGAGGCTTCAGGGGGCTTCTTCACGCCGTTCATGCGGGGTGGCCCCGTGGGGCGTCTTGAAGCCACGTTGGGGCCTCATTGGGATCTCGCAGGGCCAGCCTGGGCGCCTCGGCGAGGCTCTTGGGGCCCATCTCGGAGGACATCGTTCAAATAAGGGGTGGCTTAAGTGTTTGGCCCCATCGGGGGCCCGACAAAAACTGTTCGGGGCCCTCCTGGGCCAATCCTGGGTCGCGCAAGCGCGCTCTTGGGGCTGCATTGGGGCCCTATTGGGCCGTTCGTAGGGGTTTATCGGGCCATCCAAGTGCCACGTTGGCCTTTTGGGAGGCCGCGGGGAGTGAACAGGTGAGTGTGTGCAAATACGGTGTTCCCATTGGATTTCTAAGGATTCTGGCATCTCGGGGACGCCCTTGGGATGCTCGTGGCCGCTTGAGGCCGTCTTTGGGCGGGGGGGGAGGGCGGGGTTTCTTGGGGCATCCTGGAAGCCGCAGGGGCTCGCATTGGGCCATCTTGCGCCGCCTCGACAGCCATCTTAAGGCATCCGAGGGGATCTTGGAACCGCTGTCGGGCCCAGCGCCTCCCGAGGGCGCCCCTCAAGCACAAATCACATACACGCTTTGGTTGCCGTCTGTGCTCGTTGATCAAAGAGGGGCCCCTGCAGGGGCGCCCCTCTGGAGCAGTACCTGCAATCAAATATTGGGGCCTTCGTTGGGGCGCCCTGGAGGCGCTAATCGGTGCTTTCGGCCCTGTCTTGGAGCCACCTCGGGGCTATCTCGGGTTCATCTGGGGCCCTCGCGGAGCCGCCGCGAGGCTCCCAGCGCCCATCGGGTGTGAAAATATTATAATACAGACATCGTTTGTTTCCTTCAGGTTTCGGGCGGGTTTGGGCTTCACGGGGCTGTCCTTGGGGGGCCCCGTGGCCTCTCAGGGCCGTCTTGTGGCGGTAATGGGTTTGTTCTGGAACATCTCGGCGACGACATTGAGCCATCTTGGGCATCATCTTGAACCATATTCTAGACCGCGCAGCGTTCCCCGAGGCCCTTCAGGCCCCATCATAGGCTATTCCGGCCCGTCCAGCCGCCGCCCTCCCAGTCCAAACCCAGGGGGGGGGGGAGGTAACGGGGAAAGGGCCAGCCCCGCCCCGAATGAGAACAATTGGGCAACGCACGGGAACGTACCAAACCACCTCCGCGCAGAGGGCCGGTGGGATCCATGTATCTGGTTTCTGCCGTCCTCGTTCCTTCCCTTCTCTTTTTCATTTCCTCGTCCTCGGTCTCTCCTCGCGCTCCTTCCGCCTCTTCCCGCTGCCGTCCCTCGTCGCCACTGCCGCGGGGAGAGGGGGGCCGTCGGCGGCGGGGGCGGCGCCTCTGGTGAGCGCGTCGGCGAGCGACTCCACGCAGGTGGTGGGGCTCCGGCGGCGCCCCCGCGTTTTGGGGGCGGCGGCGGGAAGAAGGGCCGCAGGGGGAGGTGGAAAGGCAGGAGTTGGCGGTCGGAGGGCTTGGAGCAAAGGGGGGATGCGGGAGGGGTGGTGGTGGGGGGTGGAAGAGGAGAAAGGGGGGGGGCATGCGCTTGGGGGGCCGCGACGGCAAGAGGGGAGGAAGGGGGCGGAGGACGAGCAGGGGCGGCGGGAATTTGTTGCGGAGTTGGGCGGGTGGTCGGTGGATGAAGAGGAGCAGGAGGGGCGTTTTTTTGTTTGTTTTCAGTTGGGGCAGCCTTTGCCTCGCAAACTACAGCGGTCAGAGATCCCAGCGCTCGTCATCGCCAGGGGTAGCCCTGGCGGCGCATGTGAGATGTTTTGCTGACGTGGTAGCGGGGCCAGAACGTGCCCGAATCTCGCCAGGACATATTATTAAGTCTTTTCGGTTCGAGGTTTGTTTGTGCTGGTGGCGGTCTGGCTTGTCCAGGACGTCTTGAAGAATGTCGCTCGCCGTCCCAGTCGTGGAAATGCTCTGGCCGAGTTTCTGGGTCATGCATTGCCGCGGCTGCGTTTCTGGCGGTTCTGCTTTGCGGGGGTCGTCACCGCGGCCGCTCTCGTTCAGCCGACGGTCTACGTTTTTGTGCTCGTGGGTGCATCGCGCGAGATCTGTCGCGGACCCTGCCTGCAATGTAGCCCTGGCGTTTTTTCCTTGGCCTGTTATTGGGCAGCGTTGCCGCGGCCAGAAAACACCCCCAAGTGCGCTTGCCAAACCTACTCTGCCCAATGCGTTTCGCCAAGTCAGTTGGCCGCACCTTTTGCACCGATGCGCTTTGGCAAACCCAGTTGTGGGCGGCTATATGTCCAATGGCGTCATTCGGCGCGCTTGGAACCTTCTTCCTGGAACCTACTCTGCTTGCGAACCTATCTCCCGAACCTACTTTTAAACCTACTCCAAACCTATCTCGAAATGTTTTGGCTTCTTTATAGCCCTGCATTGCCGAGGAAGTCTCGGCTCTACACTACACGCCCCCGCGCCACCGGTCACCGCGTCATTCGCCGCCAACCCGCTCTAGGCCAGGCCCCCCGTTGCCGCGCCTCCTTCGCGGTCCGGGGCGGAGCGGCGGAGCGGCGTCGCCGAACCAGGCATCCGCCGACCCGCCGGGCGCGGAGATAACCGCGCGTCGCGCATTGGGGTATTTGGGGGCAGTATTATCAGGCGGGTCATCAGGGTCATTTTCTTGACCTCAACCCTGGCGGTCTGAGACGGTCCTGATCGCTGTCTGGTCTGGATACGCATACGCCGTCAGGACGCAGTCCAGCACGCCCTCAAAACAACAAGTTCCGATTTGCACACCCTGATCTCGAACATGGGTCTGGTCTTCGCCGACTCGATTCGGCCCTGCGATAGTCGATCGACGATCGCCGTCGCGTCGCCTCGGCACCGCCGGCACCGCGATCCGATTGTCTGGCCAACCGATAGCACAACCGAGTTGCGATCGTCGAGAGTCGACAGGTCAGGCCGATCGACGTCGTCGATCGATCTCAACCCATCTCTCTTGTTGCCAGCTTGTACCAGCCATCGAGGTCGACGGCGCGACCAAGCTTCAGGGCGTGAAGTACCTACCCCGCTTTCGTTTCCAGGCAAAACCAAGCCATACCACGAGCCTCCTCGTCAAGCGGCCTGACCAGTACAGGCCGTAGTTTGGCATCGCTTGGTATCTCTTGGAAGCGAGGGTGGTCAAAAGCGAGGTAGGTTTGTTTGCCCCCTAAAGCTGCCACCCCGGAGGTGGATATCCCCGACCGAGACACTGGTCGCGCAGGGGTTCCCAGAACATCCACATTTTCCGATGAGGTCGCTGGGTGAGTTACTGTGCAGCTTCAACCGCATGATCGACGGCCGCCACCACCGCAGCGTGCGCGCGCAAGCTGGGAACGCCATGCACGCGACCGTTGCAGGTGCCATTGTTCGTCCCATACCATACCACCGTTGCCACCACTCCCGCTCGGCACACCGTCGTCACACACCTCGAGCCCCCTCTCCCCGGCCGCCCCGCAGCAGGTGTCTTCCAGCTGGCAGTGTTCATTAACATCCGCTACGCCGAGAACATTGTCTTCAACATTGTGGCCGTGAACTCACGGCTCGCCGCTCGTGCGATCAGGCAGCAGCGTCGCCGCCTCACTGACGCGGCAGATCCGGGCGCTCGTTGGCAGCGGCTGCGCTCCAAGACGCCAGCCCGCCGCTTTCGCATCATGTAAGTGTTTGTTTTTTCGCAGCTCGGGTGCGTGCGCATCTGCCGTCGAGTTTTGAGTTTTAGGTTTTTCTGTATATCAGGTATGGTATCCCGGGATCCCCTGGGGGCCTCTGGACCCTCGGGCAGGCCTCGCGCATATTTGTATCTGCGTAGAGTAAGTGATGGGCACGTGATATTAGTCAGTATCTCCAGGGTGCGGTCTTGTGATTCACGGCGCGTCAGGCTGCGGGCGCCTGTTGGCTACGTGTTTGAGATGATGTTAGTATAATTTGGGCTCCGAAGGAGCCGTTGTCGGCCCCCTGCAGCCGACCGCGTCGCTCGGGCTCAGCTTCGAGCGCAGCCGCAAATCTTGCGGCACTAAGCTTAGCGAATATTGCGTTGCATTGCCGTTGGAAAGCTACGACTCCGCGTCAACTGTCGGTCTGCGTCGCGTGTCAGCGACGCGCAGCGAAGACAATGCCGTCCCCGCTCCGCCCCTGCTCGCCCTCGGGGCCCTCGGGACTTCTCATGTGTCTGATACCTGATGCCGCCTGATACCTGTGGAATTGTAGATTGTCGTCTCCCCTTTCTGTTCTCGTGCCCGCATGCGGGCCCCCAGGTATTCGGGGGTCCCTGAGTCCTCCGGGCGTCGCGGCCAAGCTGGGCCATACTGTTGATTAATGTTGACTGTTGATCCCTATAGCTTCGCCCCTTAAGCCCCGCCATGGAACCGTCATGGGCCGTCATGGGGGCTCGCGCGACTAGACGGGTTGCCTCTCGCGCGTCGTCGCGGCCTGGGCCGGCGATCTGCCTTTTCTCAGGGCGGCTGCGACGGCGCGAGGGCCCGCGAGGGCGCGAAGATAAGCGCGAGCCCGATCCCGGATGATGTTGTTGCCGCGTGGCGGCCGAGGTGAAGATGTCAGTTCTGATTAGTTTTACGAATCACGAGACAGCCGATTGTCAATGAGTCGCCTCGACCCCGCCCAGAACGTTCGGTCCGAA